TACTGTCTAAATTGCTTTCTTCTTTTAATGCCAAACTTCTGAACTTATTGCACTACAGCTCTACCCAGATCATACGACTGAAGCAACTCAAAGTTAGTCAGAGAATCCCCTTCCTTGTTGCTTCTATACAAGGTGAAATGGCCAAGGATGGGAATTCCAAGTTCTATTTTATTGAAAAAATCTGTAATGGACTAAATGTTTGTATCTCCCTCCCTCTAAATTCACAAGTTGAAGCCCTAACCCAAATAAGATCATATTGGAGACAAGGACTTTGGATAATTAAGTAATTAGGTTTAGATGAGGTCATAGATGGGTTGTTACTATTTCACTGTGATATCTGTTGGCTCACTATCAATATTCTCGTTTGGAAAGAAAAATCAAAATGCTCACCCAGGACACAACGACTAATGCCGAAGACTTATTTGTCCTTGTTTATGGACAAAATGTGTTGCTAGCAGAGAACCAAGAGGGAACTTTCCTCAGAGTATAATTCTATTTAGTATTTCACTTAGCTCTTGCACTCAATAAAAATGTATATTAGAATGCTGAAGGAACAATTGCAGGAGCATAATAATGTTCTATTCACATAGGAATTTTAAACATTTTAAATTAGTTCCTTGTATCCAACTCATACCTTTTTCAGGGTTGTAATTGTTTTTAGTTTTGCACATTATTCTGCATGCAAAAAGTCATAGGAACATACTGTCACATTCAGTTCCATGTGCCATCAAATTTTTTTGCCTCCATTAAGGTTATTTATCCAGAAAATCATTAGAAATATGTGTGTGACATTTAGTCATTAATATAATTTTTTTAAATGAAGCATGCTATTTACATAAAATTTTAATTTTTCTGTTGAGTAATGTTAATGTATTTTGCCTTAAAATGAAGCAATAAATTATTTGGATATTCATAATTTACTTCTATATGAATATCCATGGATTTCTGTGCTTCTTTTTTATCACCAAGAAAGACAATTTTGTGTAATATTTTGTATCAACAGGGTTAAATATTTTCCCATTTAATCACATTAAAATAAGAATAAAAGAACTTAAAAGGTGTCAAAGGTAGCTTCAGTTGATCTTTCAGAGTAGGATGATGCCTGGACTTCTAACTTTAATAACTCAAGTAACCCAAACACTCAGTCAATTAATTAAACTCTGATATTGCATTCCAGAAAATGTAAAGCAAGTGCCCTTTGGTTGTGTCAGATATTTGGCTGTGAATAAAATAAATAATTGACATAAACTTTGCAAAGACAGGTTTGCACCATTATCTCTATTTATGTAAACAGAAGAGCCTGTCTTAATAATGTCACCGAACCTGCAACTCCTCAGAACGATATTCAAACAGATACATCAGTCTGGAAGCTCTTCATTCCAGCATCTTTTCAGTGTTTATAGCTACATACACAAACTACCAAACACCCTCAGTGTACCGTAAGAGTAGGAACCACATATTCAGAAGAGTAATAAACCCATTTGGTGATACGTTCTTGAGAGTTCTCAGCCCTTACTTCAGTTGACAAAACTCTGCTACATTTTTTTTTTGCATCAAAAAAATATCATCTACCACATATAATATTATACTATGTTTGTAGTTTATATAACTTTGGAGATAAACTAGAAAAACATAAAAACACAACCAAAAAAAAAAGGTAAAATCATAGACATTGAGAATGTGGTTATATTTTAACATTGCCGTTTTATAGGGAGTTACAACAATACAATAGGAAGATAAATGAAAAAATTAGTAAACAAATTTTTTTCATAGAGCTTTAGCTCCTAAGAGCCTCTGTGGGCCAGTTCATGTATATGGTGCTCCTTTGAGAAGCTATACCTTGTGCTAAGTAGCTACATATGGTGGGCTGGCCCCATAGCCTAGAAATTAAGGGAGCCAAATCCCACAGGACTAACTGTGGTTTTAATCTAGGACCCAGTGACTTGAAAAACATGGGGAAAGCATGTGCACGTGTGCCAAAAATCCCAGCAAGAGAGAGACATGGAGGAGAAGGGATTCTATCATGACTACATCCCATTGAGGGGTGCTTTCTCCCTCTGTCTCTGAGGCACATATGTCCTTTGACAATTAAACACCAAACAAACAAACAAAATGATAAAGAAGAACACTATGTGTTGTAATCATCAATTAGAAATATATTTCTTATGATAATTAAGTAATGTATGATAAATTACAGCAAATAGTTACACAATTTACTGACAAAACCAGCACTTCCTAGATAACCAAACAAGTGAATTTGGACCAAGCTTATTTCTCTCTTGAAAGTAAGACTACAAATAAAATTAATTTCTAGATTTACAATAGTAAAAAGAGAATATCTTCAGATGATAAGAAAACAGCTGCAGGTGTGAGAAAGGAATCAGAATGTACAGCGATACCTGGTTGCCAGAGCAGTGCTGTGCATCCTCACACCACCCAGCACCATCTCCCCCTAGCAGTGAATTCTGCATATTGTTCACTAGTCTCTGTTTTCTAGGTCGGGTGACCACATCTGTATGTATGCAGAATCACTGAGTGAACTTGGAACATGCACAGTCCCAGGACAAGATATCTCTTTGCATCACATTGCTAGCAAAACAGCTTTCAGAAATTACTCATGACCAAAAATGACATGAACGTTTCTGAGGATCCATAAAGGCAAGGAAGTTAGGAACATGGATCTGGATAAAGGTGATAGTGGAACAGAATCCTCAGAAAACCACGTGGGATGCGGTAAAGAGAATCTCGGAATTCAAACCAACCAACATTCCAGTTTAAAGAACATCTTTTTACTTTATTTCATCACGTCTCTTTCCTCTTAATGAAAATGCCATTTTACAACTGGACTCTATGGCTAATGCATTTTGGTTGTTGTTATTTCATAGCCCTTTGTTTTTATGCTTACTGATAACTATATGCCAGGAGGTTACTACTCAGGGGATGTTAGCTACCATGAAAAACCATGGCAAGAAGGAAATAAATTAATAAGGAAATTTTATTATCAGCATTTGATGGAAAACTTGAAATCGATACAGCAAGATGTGGGCATAGACCCAGCCTGGTGGTGCGGTCTCTAGTGTACTGGACTGCAGTACTGGAAGCCACGTGGCTGGGTGCATGTTCACATTTCCAGTTGGCTTGAAAACATGCAGGGCCAACTTATGAGGGCCCAAGCTTCTGGGGAGCTGGACATCTGGGAAAAGTGGATTGTGGCAGGATGACATCCTGTCAAGGGTGATTGCTCTCTCATTCTGTCTGCCATCTCCTCTCTCACACTATCATATATTACATAAATAAATAGGCATAAATTACTGGCTTCTTCCCAATAAAACAAACTTAGGGGTGTTTTTATTTGAAATAATAACTTTATGGGTTTCAAAGATATATTTTTCCCAAAGGCTCCCTCATTGGATCCCAAACTATATGATTTCTGCTAAAGATCCCCATGTTGTTTGGCAAATTAAAGATAGAAAGTCCAGAATTTTATGGCCTGCAGATTGTTTGACATATGTTGAGATTAGAAATTTCAAACCAGTTGAGGCATAGATGAAGAATGCCTAAGGGGAATTACATTTAAAATCACATAAATTCACAGGAGCTTAGGTTCCTCACCTACAAAATGGAGGAAAATAACATCCATTCCACTTATCTTGTTGACTGGCTCAGGTGGATGGAATAGTTATAAAGTGATGTACACAGCTACTGCTAGTAGAATTCTCCATTTTTAAAGGATTATTTCAAAAAACAAAATTAGTAACATTAATGGGGGAAAATGTTTAATTTTTGGATAATTCAATTGCTCTTAGAACTTCAAACATGCATATCATTTTTAAAATTATAAGTGAAATTTCTTTTCATGGGTCTTAGGAAGAAATGAAGCACATACATTTTAACCTTGCTTTCTTCTTAAGGCATAATCAGGAAAAATATAATAAGTCATTATTACAGAAACTGCTTTCAAGAAAATAGAAATGATCTGTGCTTCACTTTCACCCCCAACGCACACATTTGGGCACATTACCTTTATCTTGCCTTATTTATTTTGGTGCTTTGTGACTAGCAAATCGTTATATCATGACATTGAGGTTGAGAGAGCCCAATTCGTGCATAGCACTGTGGAACACCTTTATTAAAATCTACATTAAAGTTCAATAAATAAGAGAGCCATAGTAAGATAGTTACTTAAGGGACCTTATTTCAGTTGCAATCAAAGTTGGAAATATAATTTCCTCAGGTGCTTAGTTTTCTTTCCTCAACCCCAGATTACTAATGGGTTGGCTCCACAATGATGAAAAAAAAGAAAAGTCAGAAGCTGGGAGCAGCAGATGGTGTAATGGTTATGTCACTGGACTCCCATCTGGTCGAACCTGGTTTGAATTCCAGGTCCAGTGGTTTGAAACTCATGCCATGCCCCCATGCCCAAAATCCCGAGAGGAGAATGGAGAAAGGATTGTGGCATGGCCATCCCCCTCTTGGGGGGAGGGGGGTGATTTATTGCTTTCATCTCTCTGTCTCTTTCTGTATCTCCACCAAGTGCATGGGTCTTATTATAAAAATGTCTCTAAAAGAGTAATAATAATAATAAGAAGAAGCCAGAAGCTGTCTTCAACCACAGCCTAAACTAGTACTTAGATCTAGTGCTTGCATCTCTGACCCAGTCCCCAGCCTGCTGATGCTCCACAGAGGGTGGATCCTTGTGAAAGCTACAGGTTACTGGCAGAACTGTAATTACCACTTCTAGCAAGAATGAAGCTTAGCTGACTGTAGTTTCTTTCAAAGGAATGAAACAAAGAGGATCTTCTGGTCTACATTCTTACTGCAACCAAAATGTAAAATTTGAAAAAGGAAGACAATAAGAGGAAAACATCACTGGGAAAATAGAAGGAAAGAATTTTTTAAAAACAACAAAGATGGGAGAGAGGAAAAGAGAGAGATGATGGAGAGAGGAGAGAAAGGGAAAGTGAGAGAGAAGAGAGACAAACCCAGGTCAGATAACTCACTTGGCATTCCCTGCCCCTGGCTTCTTTCTTCGGAAGATGTTGAGGAAAGTATTGGAGCGGCAGGGAAGCTTGCCATCGCCCACGTGCATGCGGACTACGTCAGAGGTGGTGAAGGCACTGCGGACATTTCTCTCGGGCTTGGCAATAATGATGTACATCTTGGGGGTGAACATGCACCCCAGGGCCACCGTTACACTGAGGCTTACTGCAAAGCAGGTAGTGATGATCTTGTAGTTGCTCCCAAAGTAAATGGGCACGAAAGCTAGCCAGATGATGCAGGTGGTGTACATGGTGAAGGCGATGTATTTGGCCTCGTTGAAGTTGGCGGGCACGTTGCGGGTCTTGAAGGCATAGTAGGTACAGCTCATGATGAGGAGTCCATTGTAGCCCACAGGGGCCACCACACCTAGGTTGCTGGTATTACAGATAAGGTAGACTTCCTTGATACTGGGGTAGGAGAGAATAGGCATGGGGGGCTCCATGATGATCAGGGTTACCACCAGGGTCAGCTGCACACTAATCAGGATTGAAGCAATGATCACCTGTGCCCAAGCGCTCATGAACCTGGGCTTCCGGGTGCAGATCTTCTTCTTGCTGCCAGCCAGGATGCGTGCAATGCGATTGGTTTTGGTCACTAATGCCGAGTAGCACATGGCAGAGGAAAGGCCAACCAGGAGGCGCTGGAGGTAGCAGGACGTGGTAGTAGGTTTGGCAATGAGAGTGAAAGGGCACACGTAACCCAGGAAGATGCCAGCTAGGATGATGTAGCAGAGTTCTCGACTGGAGGATTTGACAACTGGCGTGTCCCGGTATAGCACAAAGATGAGGGTGACAAACAGGGTAACAAGGATGCCCAGGCAAGAAAAGGCGATGGCTATGATGGATTCTATGTTGCTCCACTCGAGATAGCGAACGGGAATGGGCTCACAGCCTGTGACAAGAAAAATAATTTTAATAGGAATCCAAGATTTCTGCTGAGCAATAATAATTGTGCTTATTATTACAGTTATCAGAGTCATAGCTTTATATCTGCATGCTTCATGACTTATTTTATGCTTTTTAAAAATGCCTTATTATTACACAGATAAAGATACATCATTGTTTTCCCTGGGAAGTCATGTCCCTAAACATAATCTCATTATAGCCTAATGTGACATATTTGAACCTAAAAAACTACCATTTTTTCAGCATCAGCTTTATAAATGGATGTCACTGCATGGATGGAACTCAGCTCTACACTTTCAGAAAAAGGGAAAAACAAAACACAACTCTGTTTCTAGTGAAGGTTAAATAGTAACAATGTTACTATTAACATTAGTGAGAAATAAATGAAAAATTTTTTAGTTTTTATGCAGCTATTGTTCATAAGCAAGTCCAGATCATAGAAAAGTATGTTTTTGGCTTGCAGAGTATTTTAAATGTACATTTAATTTGAATGCCTTAGAAGAATCTGTAGTCTCCTGTTTATAACATATCTCTATATTACTCACCTTAAGTCTCATTCCTTTATTCTTATATGATTTTTAGCTGGTATTTTAGGACCTTTTGTGTTCATACCCTTTAATAGACAGACAAAGGAAGAATGGAATCTTCCCTCACGCATCTCTTGAAAGTAGAGACCAGCATTATACTGGGTTGTTGGGAAAATCATGATTACATTTTTTCATAGAAAAGCATAGAAAAATGTCATGACTTTCCCAACGATCTAGTATTTCTGAATGTCTGCCTTATCTTTTTCCTCTAAGGACAATAAAAGCACTTTTGTATTTCAGAGTGAAAGATTCATTAGGCTCTATAGACAACCCCTTTATAGGATTTTGTTTTTGGTCTGGGCCAGTCAGTATTTCCAAATTGAAAAATATACAAACATTTCCATATATTTAGGAAGACATTCATTGTTCTGTAGCCATGATAATAAGAAGCTCCAGAACCCATTTTAAACCTGTTCAGTCAATCAACAGCTCACTTCAGTGAACATGCTTTTGCATGCCAACCAATTGGTGCCATCCCTTGCTTCTGACAATCACCCGTGCTGGGACAGATTCACTTCAGTGAATGAGTGCCCACCAAAACAACTATGGTCTCAAGGGCTAATCACATATCTACAGATGATGTCAACCAGCTCATGCTCTGAAAGCTTGTCAACCCCTCAACTCCACACTTTCCAAAAATTCCATGTAATATGAGCAATCTTTTCTGTTCAGAGAAAATTACCTGACTAGCATCACTGTTTCTTACTGTAGTAAGCAGTACATTTAGCTTTGTGTGTGTGTGTGTGTGTGCTTTAATTTCATGTATTTAGCCTCACCGTCTTTCATATCTCCAGAGGTTTCACCAAGAATAGTTTGAAGACTCTCATTAGTAAACTCCAGGAGATTCTCTGACCAACAGGTTACTCACTGAACCCCTCATACCACATTGTGTTCTCACATTCCACCATGTTAGTCAGTCTCAACAGTATTCTGTTCTAATTAGTTTTATTGGGTTATTGTTGTTGAATATATTTCATCATTCTAGGGATTTGTAATTATGTGGGTCTTTGTATAAGGTCTTTCTGTAAGATAAGTTACACCTATGTCTTCACATTAAATTATTCAAGTTTTTCATTTTGAGGTGCACTTTTGGTATTAGACCTAAGTTTTTTATATAATCAATGAACATTTTGCTGTACAGAATATACAATTTGATCATCTTTTTGTATATCTGTTCATTCTCCTGCTGTTTTCTTTGTTTTTGTTATTTTTACCAAAATATACAAAGTCTTGTTTTACAAGTTGTTTTGAACCATCTATTTCTGCTGAATTTAAATAAAGGTATGGCCCACAGAGGAGAAATAAAGGCATAGGCTTAAGAGGTCTCCAATCCAAGCTGGTCCTTGATGCCCATGTCTGCAGATCTGTGACGCTGATGAACCATCTTTAGAAAGTGATTGTCATTCTTAGCTTCAGGTCCCTTATAAAAGCTTCATGAGTTTACTTCTTTTATTGTCAGTTTGTGAAAGATCACTTTGCTTAGTGATGGTGTGGTGCCTTCCTACACTCTTTTTGCTTTGGGAATCTAAGACACCATTTACAAGTGCTCATTCTCAACTGACAGGGGCTTCTCTTCCTTGAGAGTCAAACTTGTCCTCGTCTGTCCCAAAAACTCTCTAGAAGAACATCTCCTTCTTATATAAAGTCACACTCTAATCCTAAATCTTTTTGTTTTCCTAATAAAGAGTAGATAGTTGATACATAGAAGATGGATGGATGGATAGAGATTTAGAAGAACAATGGCCATTACAAGGACTATTTATATCATAAAAATAAATAAATTAAAATATTTGTGAGAAGCTCCAAACAAATTAGGAGATAAAATACTGGCTTATTGAGGCTAAAAAAAATAAACCAAACTCGTACTTGAATTTGTGTCATGGTCTTTGTAAATTTCTGAAAGCTAGTACCTTTACATTCTCTCTTTTTCTATGTAACTTACCTGAATTTCTAAATAAATAAATAAATAAATTTTATCTGCAAAATTATCACTAGAAAAGAATACCACATTACAAAAATCGGAACATAAGTCAAACCTATGGAAGTTGAATTAAAATACTGGTTTAGAGCCAAATAAAGAGCTGCAATTGATGGTTTTTCTAAACTTCAGGGACACACGCATGATTTTGCTATTGAATTTTTCCTAGATACTTACTGTCCTGCACTACAAATATGCCCCAATTAATCCAGTTACTTTTAAGCTTCTCAAGGGGAAAAATGTTCAAAAGCAGCAGAGTAGAAAGAGCATATTTAAATAACCCAGTGGTATATAATTAAAAAAATAAAGATTAAAAGTTAATCACACAAGTCACTTTCAGCAGCTTATATCTTAATACATATTGAAAACTGTAAATGAACTAAAAATAAAAGATAGACTTTATGAAACTTTCAAATAGTTCTGGAGTAGACTCAATGCCTGACATAAAAAGGACCATGTTTTCTCCTGTAGAGAGGCTTGAATTTCCTGAAATAATGGAATCAAACAGAAAAATAAAGTACAATGTAAAATGACCTATTTAGAAAATCTCCTATATGTTGCTAGATATTTCTAGATAGACATAATGAGCACATGAGCTAAAAATCTATATAGTTGTGGTTTTTCAGGTAAATCAACTAATAAAGCCTTCTATATCTATGATTTGGGAGCCTGTGGAAAAGAGAATCGATATATACTGTAAGAAGTGCCATCCAAACAACTTGGCTAAAACTTGGAAGGACAACTACCTAAAATCTGTTTAAGAACTTAACTCATTGGGAAATATTGGCACCCAGGATTTCCCCTACCTTCCTCTTAATTCCCAAGGAAAACAATATCTCTTATTGTTAAGGGTACCTTTACGTCTACCAATATAGTGCCATTATTAATAGAATATCAGCTACCTTTATTAATAAAATCAAGTGATGAAAACAGTTCTTTGTCCTAGCCTATAACTGATACTTTGAATTTATTATTAGAAGAATACTTCTCAGGTCAGTAGGTGGTATGGACGTTAAGATGCTGGATCTGACATGGCCAACAGTATGGTTGAGTCCCAGACCCAGAAGCTTGAAAATCATGCTGGGCATGTGTGCATGCATGCTCATTTTCCAGGGAAGAGACTGAAGGAGAAGGGATGGCTATCCCCCAAGGGGGTGATTTGTCACTTTCCCTATCACTATCTTTGTTTTTGTCTCTTTCTGGTGCGCACAAGTGCCTGATAGCAAAAATTAAGAAAAACAAATTCTTCATTCTCTGTGTCACAAAACCTGCAAATTTAATAGACAAGGTGTACTTAATTTCTATGCATGATAAACTTATAGCTACTCTAAACATCAAAAATACTATACTGCATATAAGTCAGAAATTATCCAACATAATTTTGTCCTAGAATCCCTATGGATAAAAGGTCCACTGAAATAAAAAGACAGATTAGAAGAGACCACGTAAGTGTTCATACTTTCATAAACACCTAGAATATCAATAATCTTTCTTTATGTATAAGTATTAAAATGCTACAGATTGTATGACACCTAGGGAAGAACCATCACTCACTGAGGTAGGCAGCCTCTAGGCTGGTCTTCACTGATCCTTACTTTCTGGTGTCTATGTCCTTGTATAATCCCCTCTTTTTAAGTATAAATAGGGCCTGTGACTTGCTTACATTCTTTAGAATATAGCAAAATTGAGGAGATTCACTTTCATGATTAGGTTATATAAGATAATGACTTTATTTTATTGATAGATTCTTTTCTGGTTCTCATGAAGCAACCTGCAATATTGCTGAGGTACACATGACAAAGAACTGAACAATCTGCAAAATACTGAATCCCTTAGTCCAAACAAACTTTGAGGATTTTACCCTGAGAATAATGATTTGAGTGGGTTCAGAAATGTACCATTTCCTTATCAATCCTTCAGATGAAAACTCATTCCGAACCTTGTGAAATATCATGATGGATCTGGCTAAACTGTGCCTGTATTCCTGACCTACAGAATCTGTAAGATAATAAATATGTATCTTTTTAAAGAGAGATTTTTGCTATGGAGTACATGTGCTTGCTGGAGAGACAGAGAGAGAAAAAGCAATAAATCACCTCCTGGGGGAAAGGCCAGGAGAAAATAACCTCCTGGGGTAAAGGCCGGGGGAAAGACCACAGTCCCTTCTCCTCCGTTCACTTCTTGGGATATTGGGCACACACGCCAGGCACTTGGCATGAGTTTCAAGCCACTGGGTCTGGGACTTGAACCACAGTCGGCTATGTGGAAGTCCAGCACTTTATCCCACTATGCCACCTGCTGATGCCTACATATATATATCTTTACTAAATTTTGGTGTAGTTTGTTATACAAAAATAGATAACTAATTGGCCCATTCCTCAACTCAATAAATAATGCTTAATCTCCTTGCCTAAAGGTAAT